AGCCAATTGCCTCCTGGGCTGCATAAAAAGACACTGGCAGGTTGAGAGAGGCAGGTGATTCTGTCCCCCTACTTTGCTCTGGTGAGATGTTATCTGGAGTACTGTGTCCAGCTCTGGGGTCTTCACCACATGAAAGACATGGACCTGTTGGAGTAAGTCCAGGGGAGGGCCACATGAATGATCAGAGGACTAAAACATCTATCCTCTGAAGAAAGGCTGAGAGAGTTGAGATTGTTCTGCAAGGAGAAGGCTCCAGGGACTCTTACTGCAGCCCTTCAATATATGAAGGGGTCTTGTAAGAAAGATGGAGAGAGAATTTTTACCAAGGCCTGTAGTGACAGGACACAGAGATCCAAGAACTAAAAGAGAAAGAAAGAGAAAAAAAATATGAAGAAAATCTGGTAAAAAGTCATCCAGACAGACTCTCAAAATCATTGCAACAAAACGAAAGTACAATACAGAATCAATAGTATTTATATTACTGTTACCATATTTCATCCATATTTCATTAACTTGCAAGAATCTAGTAGTATTGAAGTGGAACATTTTCACATCAAAATTTTTATCATCTTTCTACAGTGATGACTGGAAATTATTGAAACATATTTTAAAATAAGCATCATAATACATGAGTCAACCACTGACCAAAAACCAACGAGTTCTACAAGTGTTTTGCTCTAAATTGTTTCTAGATTTAGACGAAATGCAAAACAGGATGGATATTTTAAGCAGTTTCAAGATTCACTGAAGTGATTTACATGAAGATTACGTGCAAGGCAACTCAGCATCATTTGCTGTGAAAGTGTAGCTATTATGCAAAGAAAGATAACTGAGGTTCACAAGAAAACCACCAGACAAATCATTCAAAACACCTGTGTGACCCTGTGCCAGTTTAAACCTTACATAAAAGAGAAGTTTTGCAAATGAATTTTTTTAGAAAACAACTTTTGAGTGCATTTTCACAAAACTGGTCAGAACTGTGTACATGCTGCTATGTCAAGAGTGTATTAGCATAATTTCAGCCATATTTTACCTTTCCAGTGGGTGGCATCAAAAGTGCCATCAGTTTATGCTGTATGAAACGAGTATTCTATTCAAAAAAATTAGAGGAAGACAAGGTGGTCTGTCACTCAGTACTACTGAAAATGCTGTGTATCACAGTCCAACCCCTTAGTTAACTGGCATGGTGCTGTGGCTGCACACATCCTGTTAAAATGAATTTCCAATCCTTTAAGCACCATCAGCAACTTACTATAGAACCGAGACCCAAAATTCATATTTAAAAACAGTACATTAATTTGTTGCACCTCTATTCAGACAATATAAGTCAGCATCTAGTCAGTATCACTCTGTGATGTTAAGGATTACAATAGATTAAATGAGCTAGCACATCTGTGAGACCATTATAATTGCTCAGTGTCTTTACAGGTACTCAGTATCATCAGGCTGTGTGTTGGAATGGGTTAAAAGCAGAAGAGGATTGTAAGCCACTCAAGTGACCTTGCAGCTGGGAATAACTCTTGATGAGTCTGTGAACAGCAGCCCAGTGATCCTCTAGCATGGACTGAGTTTATGGATCTCTAGCATGCTGCCTGTGTCTCTGCTTGTGTACCTCTGCCTGGGTGTTGTGTCACGGATCCCCTGGTTAGCAAGGTAATGGAAATAAATTTACTCTTTGCATGCTAGCTGCGAGTTTGTGGTTGTTCCAGCTGCCTGCCTGTGTCAACTCACACACTGTGATGGGCCAAGTAGATACTAATTCATTTTTGAGACTGTAATATAATTTAATAGCAGAAGTTAGACTTGTGTAGCTTAGTCTGACATACCTTACAATTTTCATGTTTTTTGTGAAAGAACATTAGCTTTTCCTTCTTTGATATTTACTGCTGAATATGCCTCCTCTAAGATCAACAACTGTACCCCACAGAATTTGCAGAATTATGTACAGGATTAATAGTGTCTAATTTGAAGGAGAAAAATACAGTGTAATACAAAGAGATATTTCCACAGTCCACTTACTTAATGGTGCTGGAGAACACAAGTGCAACCTATGAAGACTTTAAGGTAGCCATTGGCAACTTAAACCAACAAGAAAGACACTTACTGAATGTTCCTGAGAAAAAGCACATTTAAGAGCTACAATCGTCTGCTTGTTCCTGAGGATGCAAGTCTGCCACTGATGATGGTAACAACTTAAAAGGATATGAAAACACATATGCATGTGCAAAATGTAATCCATTTTCAAATAACCAGAGTGCACTAATACCTGTATTTTTCTGCAGAATAGCAGATGTTATCAGATAGAAGTGCCTTCTACCCAGAAACTGCTCCAGAGGTGCTCTGTGAGGCCTTGTGCTTCCAGTACTTGTTTGCTCTCCAGTATGTCTGGGGCAGAAGGGACTTGTAAGAATGGCCATTTTGTCACATCAGACATGCTGTAAGAGACCTGTGACATTCACTTTTCCATGCATCTAACCAACAGATGACCCTATACTAGGCTCTGTTCCACCTACCTTCTGCCTAGAGACCCTCCTGGGAAAAAGGAGAATGTTCCTGTTATTAACTTCCATGAGGAATAAGTACTTGGCAAAAGGCAGCAGTGCTCTTACCAGTAGTGACTAGTTCAGAGGATTTTCAGCTTCATATGGTCAGTCCCATAGGTAAGTCAGTGCTTAGAGAGCAGTAAGGGATCTCTTGGAAAAGCTGCACAGCTAGCACACTCTTTCCAGTGCCCAGTGTATTTCACAATTACATTGAGTTTGCACCCCAGCTGGTCTGTGATGAATTACACGTCTGCGTGGTGTGCTATTTTTGACTCACTGTGCTATCCTGTGCTACCCCAATGTAGGAAGACAGGCACAGCCCTGCTGGTTTGAAGACAGACCAGACAATGGTCTTTGCCAAGGCCCTGTTTATCTAGTGGGACGTGTCTAAGATCCGGGCTGCCAATGCTGTAACTACCCACTCAATGAAACGACAATTTAGCAAATCTCTCAGGCTGTCCTTGGCTGATCAGGGATCACAGGGGTTCTGTCTTGCAGGCTTTCCTCCTGCAGTTCAAATAAGTAATAGTAATAAAAAAAACCCTCTATATTTGTACTATTTGCACTTTCTTTTCACTGCCTAGCAGGATGTTGGTGCTTGACACCTTTGACCGCCTAGCAAATCTACTGATCTCATTTTTCATTTTGGTTAACCTGTATAGACAGAAACCATAATAACCATGAAACTTAGTCACCACAAAAGAAAAAGCATTCAGTTCTGTTTTCACACTCTAGCAGACAAAAGCAATACTGACACCATTTCTTCATTTTATGTGCCCACTTATTCTGCAAGCTATTTTAACCAGTTTTCCAATTGCCTAGACAACGTCAGTCATGAAGTACTAGGCCTGACTGTACTCCCCTACGTTGACAGGTCACTGCCAGGTGGACAATCTGCAAGATAAATCAGAAAAAATTGGATTTCAATAGCCACTATTTGTTTTATAAACTCGGATTACAAAGACAGTAAATATTTCACATAGCAATACAATATTCAAATGAAGAGTTGTATTAACCAGTGAACAAGACTCTAAATAAAACCCTTCCATACTCTTAATTTTTCCCATTCAGAACACTTAGTGTCCAACCTGGTTACGTGCTATCATCAAATTACTAAATATCTATATTAATCAAACTAATATTTATATTGATACCAAAATCAGGCAGGATCAGGATCACAATCTTGACAAGATCCAGACAGCTTTAACTTTGTTCAGATCAGGTCTCACTCAGACAGATAAGTTGAAGAACTGCTACTGTATCAGCCACTGTATTTTCAAAATAGCTGGCTTGGCAGTTGAGCTGAAGAAAGGCAGTTACTCCCAGGCTACAACTTCGCAATATAGAACACTGCAGGTCTTCAATGCATTTTTCCAACCCACAGACCACTTACAAATGCCAAATGGCAATCTAGGTGCATCAATATTCTTTCAAGCAACACAATGTCTACTCAGTCCCCCAAAATTCTGGAATTTGTATTTTAAGCTTGCACTTCAAGACCTCGAAGATATTTGCTTATCACAAGCTACTGCTACTCCTTTACAGTGTAACTGCTGCGCATTGAACTTAGCAGTGCTTTATGCTTACAAACTACCCATTTGAGGGTCAGACAACAAAAGAATTGTTCCACGAGCCAATGAGCAGTTGCGATTTGCCCAAGCACGGGGTAAGACAAGCAATTCGAGAACGGAGGTTTTAGCACCGTCTTGTTAGATCTTAAATGTCCACCGGATAAAGCATTTGGACAACCATCATCAGAAATTAATTATACTGTGACATCTTCCCGTGCGATTACGGCGCTACCGATGTGCTCGCTGTGCCAGACAACCCCGACGCCTACGGGAGCTCCCGGGTGATGGCAGTGCCGTAACAGTCGACCATGGCAATAAGCTACTTAAATTCTACTTTAAGTATTTAAGAATGTAAGAATTATTTAAGCAGCCCCCGCGGTGCCTTCAGGTCCCTCCCCCGCCCCCTCACTGAGGAAGCCCCGCCCCCACCGGACGCGGCGCGCCTTCATAGGCTGCCGCTGCCTTCCGGCCCCGCTCCCTGGCGCCAGCCCGCCAATCCCAAAGGGTGATGTGGCTACTTGCGCTCGGGGGGCGGGGCCGCCACCTCCCCACCCGCCCCCGCCTCCGCCCCCGGAGCGGCCGCATGCTCCCCGCGTGGCGGTCCGCGGTTGGCGGCGCCGCGGCGGCCAATGGCTGGGCGGCACCTCAGAGCCCCCGGGCGGTTCTAAGCCGCGGCGGTGCGGGCGCTTCTCCGCCACTGTCCCAGTCGATCGCGCCTGTGTCCCGCATCGCCGCTGCCGGGCGTCCCTGGGGGCGCCCCCGCCAGTCCCGCGAGACCCGCGCACCCCGCGCCGGAGCCCCTCGTGACGTTCGGCGATTGGCGGCCGTGCGGCGCGCGTGGCGGGGCAGCAGCCAATCACCGTGCGTGGCGTGCCCGGAGGGCGGGGCGTGGGGAGCGCAGGGAGCGGACGGGAGCGGGCCGGGAGCAGCAGAGAGATCGGGATCAGGATGAGGGTGCGCAGGCTGTGGGTGCTGGTGCTGCTGCTCGGGCTGGTTCAGATCGCCCTCCTGGCGCGGGGCGCGGCGGCCCAGGAGGAGGAGGACGGAGACGGAGGTGAGCGCGGGCCGGGGCCGGGCTGGCGGCGCATCCTGGATCCCCCCGCGGGAGGCGGGGGCGCGGCCCCTCCGCTGGGCGCTGCGGGGAGCCTGGGCTGGCAGGGCCCCGCTGGGGCCAGAAAGCTTTTCCGGGCCTCTGGGCAGGGCGCTGAGCCCCCACATGAAGGCGGTGAGGTCTGGGCGAGCCGCTTGTCCCAGCGCTGTGGGGCGGCTCTGCCTCGCCTCTTCCAAGCACGGAGTTAACAGCTATCTAACGATTAGCCATGTTGGAAATCCCTGGCTTTTAAATCACCGTGAAGTTTGCGATTTCATTGTTTCGCCTCGTTATTCCGACTCGTTGCGATTTCATTATCCGGAGATGGACTCTTTGTCAGGAGCTGTAGTGTAGAATGGGGAGTAACGAGTACAAATTGAAAAAGGGGAAGTTTAGGTTAGATATTAGAAAGAAACTCTTTACAGTGAGGATGGTGAGACACTGGAACAGGTTGCCCAGAGAGGTAGTGGATGCCCCATCCCTGGCAGTGTTCAAGGCCAGTTTGTGGTCTAGTGGAAGATGCCCTGGCCCGTGGCAGAGGGATTGGGACTAGATGATCTTTGAGGTCCTTTTCAACCTCAACATCCTGTGATTCTATGGCTGAGCACACTTTTCCTTATCCCTCTGTTCAGGGGATCTGTGTATTCTGCGTGTTTCAAACTGATGGGGTTGTTGGTTTGGTTTTTTTCACAGAAGGAAGGACCAGTGTTGCCAATTGCTTGCTGTTTCTTCCCATTGTCTTTGAATTTCACTGACGCGTTTCTCCTCTTCCAAAATTAGCTGAAACAAAGCTGCTCAGGCTTATTGAGTTTAGTACGTTCCTGAAAGTAGGAGGCAGGCATTTGAAGATTTTCTTTTTTTTAGTTTTAAGTTTCTTTCATGTGAATTTTGGTAAATCCTGCATCTTTCATATTTCTTGTATGTTAAGTATTAGAGGGCGTTCGGGGAGACTGGATTATGGATGACCTTCTGAACTCATGTCCTGCAAATTCTTGCTCACTGAAAAGGCACTAAAACTCAAAGAAGCACATATAAATCAGTTACCTTATCTGTGTAATTAACTGTATGTAGGATGAGGATCAAGAAACTTGTTTTAAAGGATATGGAGTCTGCAGAAAGGAGATGGAGATACAGAATCTTCCTGTGAAACACTTTTTTTTTTTCAGTTGCAAACTGAAAGACAAGTATTGTGTCTATTTCTCTGCTTTTAGCTAGAACACTTGATTATCCTTGCTTTGTAGCATGTGACAAAGCCAAGTACTGATTTTCCCTACAACCTTCATAGAATGAAGTAACACCTGTGATGTTACAGTGTTACCTGTGGCTGACAGCGGTAGCTCAGCTTCCTGTGGGCCAGGCTCTCAGGCTCTCATCAGTATTTCCCACAGGTGCTGTTCTTCTCATTATACGAGTTGTCTGGATCAAAGGTACATGGTGATGGAAGTCTTTCCTGCTGTGTGGAAGCTGAGCACTAATCCATTGCACAACTTGAATCGTTTTCTGGTTTCTATTGTGTATCTAGAAATTGTATATAGATCATGAATAGGCTTTTCAAAGCCTTTGCATTAAAAATGCACATAGTTGGGGATTTCCATTTTTGCTTTTGGAATACAGGTGTGTATGAAGTGTAATAAGTTTCCTTTGCAACAAGCAAGTGATTTTATGTACATTGATTGTGCAGGAGATGAAAAGTTCAGATTAAACCCGGCTTGTTGTACAGCATGGTTTGGGAAGTGAAGTTCAACTAGGACAGTGAGGCAAATATGCTCAAAGTAAGGTTAGCCTGGATCGTGACTGTTACACTCTTAGCATCCTGATGAAGGAACAGGAGGAATCATGTAGAGGATCCGCTACAGAAAATCTTGAGGAGGATTGATTTTTGTTGAAAGACTTTTGAGTGCCCTAGCAACAGATTATGAGTCTTGACTTCTGGGTTTCTGAAAACTGAGCTCATCTAGGAGCTGTGCTCCTCAGAAGAAAACTTTCAGGCAGAATCCTGAAGTTGTTGATGTCTGGATGCAGCTTTATTTGTATGGGATTAACTTTACTTAAGAAAAAGTTACTAGGCCAGATTTATGATAAATGCTGAGTGTACAGCGAAGTTACTGAAAGAATTAATTTCACTTAGAGTAGCTGTCATCCTGAAGAAGGTCTACCAGCCAGTATCATGTACTTCAAGTCTTAAAATAAGTACCATTTTGATCATGTTTTTTGACTTGTGTAGTAATGTGTTGAAATTTGCGGAAGTGATTTTTTTGGAGTAAAAAGGAGTAATCCATATTTTATTGGAGGGCAGGTTTTAGCCACAGCTGCCACATGTTGGCTTGTCCACCTGCTTTGTAAGTATCTTAAGAAACAAAGACACTTCAGTTTGGGGGCAGCTGTTTTATTTTCATGAGCTGTCTTATGCAAGTATTTATTAGCTACTTCTGCTATTTCAGATGTCACAGTAAGACTCATTCTACATCTGTTCTCTTTAAATTGTAAATCATTAATGCAGAGGCAAGTTTCTTGCTCTTAATGAAGAGATGTCCTGCTTGCTACTCCCATGCTTGGTCAGGTCCCTGAAGCAGTTCTTTCAGTCCCAATAGTAAAGGAGGTGTTAGAGGTAGCTATGATAGAGTTTGCACACTTAAGGACCAGTTTATAGGTGTGGTTAACTTTTTTTTTAATGCATGTCCTCCTCCCACTTGGGAAAAGGTGGAGTCCTGCTGTTACACTGCTATTGTCCTGCCTCCATCTCCAAGGAGGAGGAAGTGGGTGTGTATAATGCCCATGACAATGTGTCACTGTCAAGGAAGTTTTATGTTGGCAGGCTGTACAGCCACTTGCAGGGAAAGATCCATATTCAGTGATGGATGTTGGACCTAATGGTTACATTTTCTACTTGTGCAGGATGTTTTTGCAGGTGATGCTTTGTTCTTGGTTTTCTAAACCATGAGCCTGTGCTACAGTAGCTGCAGTGGCCTTTGTCTCTGTTGGGTCAGTTAGTTAGCATAGTAAGCAGGAATGAGGGTCACAACCTGGTGGTAAGTTTGAGATGCATGAGCAGAATTGGCCAGCTAGTTTTGCTCAAATTCCTTTGTGTCAGGAAAAACCAAGTCTGAAGCAATTTGCATGGAAAAGCAATGGCATTGCACAACTTGCAGGAAGTTCAGGCACAGACTGACCAGGAACACTATGTGGTGAAACATAGCCCTCAAAGCTGCTAGGCACCCATGTAAGGCAGAAATTTTGCCTGCTGAAACCCCCTGAAAACCAGCTGTTTCACCAGGGTAGTCCTGTAGGTATGTGACTTCCCTCAAGTGTGAGCAAGTGCTGCAACACAGGAGGCATTGTCTGCTGGCAAAAAGTGCTTTTAGCTGCTTCAAAGATCAGATGAAACAGGAGTAGTTGTTAAAGAAATCTAATCCAGGTGACTACTGTTGTGTGATAAATAATCTCCTGTGATCTCTCCCCTCACCAGAAGCTTTAATATTTTGGTGGTATGTAAAGTTGACTTTAATTAAAATGAACATATTTTCTCTAAGAGCCCGTGCTGTTTTCTGAGGGCATATAGACTTATTTTTGTATGCTTTCTTCTAACATAAAAATAGCTATTGCAATTTAATGGCATAGTTTTGTCCATGGTGAGATTGTTCCTGTGGTCTGCTGTCGGTGTGAGAAAAGTGGGATTTGTTTTGTTCACTTTTTCATAGTTGGGTAGTACATATTTCTCAGTCTTAACTTTCAAATTCCAGGTGAAATCAGAGTATTTTCAGAATAGTGCTGCAGTAACTCCTGTCAGCTTAGTCAAAAGCCAGTTAAAGTTAAATAGAAAAAATAGTTTTGACCAAGATACCTAAATCCTTTTTTCCCTTTCTTTTTTTTTTCCCCCCAGTATACTCCTGGGACTCTCAGTGGTCAAAAGGGCCTTAGCTTCGTTGTTTTACAATTTTCATTTGGGATGAGGTATTATCATTACTTGTTCTGTAACTGAAATTCCTTAAAGGCCTTCAGGAAGGTCTGGTTGCCTTGAAAGATAGCAGTTAAAAAAAAAAATTTAAAGGAACATGTGAAAGGTCGAATATTAAAGAAACCATCTCAAATTCCAAGCCAACAAAGAATGAACCAGTTGAAATGTCCTGGCTTCAGCTTTCACGTGCTAATTTTGCTTCGGTAATTGAACAAATCTGCTGCTTTCTTCTTGAAAGGCCTGTTCTGGACCAGCGGTTTTGGTCTCCTTAAATCAAAGGCCTCCACAAAAGCTGTTTGAAAGAAACTTTCACTCCATTTACCTTGCATCTGGCAGGTGCATACGAGTGGGTTTTCACGGGACTCCTGAAACAGTCACTTACTTGATTTTACACTCAGTGCAGCCTGGTGCTGGTCCAGAGCAGAGTGATTGATGCCTCTGTGAGCGGAAAGACTCCTCAATGAATTGCGGACCTGAAACATCACTGTAATTGAAAGCAAGATATATTGAGGTGGCAGAGGTGGGATGGAGCAGTCAGGAAAGAAGCCTCATTTTAAAATGCTGCCTCGAAACCACCTTTGTACTAGCAAGATTGTAACATTTGGGTTTATGGCAGCTGTTCCACTGCATGATGAAGGGCTTCTGTTTGAATTTAGGTGTCATTTCTGTGCCCTTCTTGCCCAACAAAACGTGTCTCGCTTCCCACATTTCAACAATATATCCAATGTACCTTGGTGGCAACTGTTATGTGGATCTGTGTGTATTAATTCTTGTTGTATCCATTTTGTTAATTTGCCTTGAAATTGGAGATAGATGTTGACACTTTACTGAAATATTTATATTGGTGTAGTGTGGACAAAAATGAAACACAAGTCAAACATTTGAGTCCAAGTTCTTTGCAAACTGAGATAGCTGTGGCTGTATGTGGAGCAGAAGCTAACCTGTGTAGGGACTTTTTTCTTTAACCACAGGAGATCCATCTTTAACCTGGTACTGTTACTTCAGTGTTAAATTTGACACAATCTAATATCTATTGCATTTTTACTTTTCCAGAATCTGTTACAAAAGAGACCGATGATGACAGTGATGATGATGATGAAGAGGATGATGAAGATGATGATGATTCTGTAGTTAAAGAAGAAAATGGTGTATTAGTCTTGAATGATGCAAACTTTGACACCTTTACTGCAGACAAGGATACTGTGCTGCTGGAGTTCTATGCACCATGGTAGGTTCACAGTGGTATCTCCTTATGTACAAGATGAGATGGCTGTTGAGGTCTTCTCCGCCAGGACACACTCCTAAATAGTGAACTTGAGTTGCAATTTTAAAGATGACATAGGAGTAGTTTGCCTGCAGGAGATGCACTGGACATTACTATAGTCCAGGGAAGGAGATGGTTCTGGTGGTGTAGAACCTTTTTCCTGTACCATGCAATAGCCAACAGCCCGTTCCATCTCACAGATGTGGGCCATGCTGAGGGATCCCATTCGAAGGGAAGGACAGCCTTGGTTCTCCCTGCTTTGTGCCTGTCAGGGAACAGAAATGGTCCCAGTGAGCCCCAGAAAAATCATGTGGTGTGGTCTTGCAGCCTGCTATTGTCCTTGTGCTGAACCCCTGGGAACTTTTGCACTTCCTCATCTAAATGGAGGGATGAAGGTGACTTCCCTAGTAGAGGAATTGCTAGAAGGTTTTCCTTTTTAAATTCACATTTCTGTCCTTGCCAGAAGGACGTGGTGTGATTAAAGACATAGCTCGTTTGTATTATCAGTTTAAGCAGTGGCTCATATGTCCACCTAATGATGATAGTTTCTGCTGGCATCCCAGACCACTGGTGTGCTCAGGGGAGCTACAATGGACTTACCTGCATATAACCGAGACAAAGAATTTAGGCCAGAATGTGCCTTCTCTTGCATTCTTATGGGCAAAAATAATAGAGATGGTTACTGGGGGAAAACAAGAGTAGAATATATTTTTAGTCAAGTTGCTGAGTTAGCATTGCAACCAGAACCTCTTTTCCATTGTGATTTAGTGATACAAAGATGACTTACTCATAGCTCCTTTTCTAGTCTTTGAATAGAAGGGCGAATGTGATCTTGAGGTGGAGTTGCATTTTAACTGCATCCCTCCTTGTCTATGGGTCCTAATCCTGCAGCTGTGGCTTGCCTGCATGGAAACTAAACATGAAGTTTAATTTATCTGAGCAGAAGGATGTGTGTCATCATGGACTAAACACCTCTCCTTTTTTCTACTCCCCATTCTGCCAGTTAAGAGGCTAAGGAGCCCAGGCTGTCTGCCACACATTTCCTCTTTTCTTCCCCCTATATTTCCCTGGTTTCATGTTCAGCTTGTCAAGCTTTTCTTATGCTGATATCCTTTGTCACATCAGCTTTTGCAGCAGGAGCCTCTATTCTTCCCAGAAAGTTCTGCTATGGCCAGAGAGGGAGCAGGTGCTGTGATACCATGGTGGGTGTGAGATTTCATTAGGTCCACTTAACTACTGGTTCATTTTTCCCTTTAGTTCAATTTAGGGTGGTAGGTAGAGAAGATAAAACTAGATTAGGGAGAAGCTGAAGTTGCATTGAGACCGTATTTGTGGGGACGGGAAGGAAGGAGGAGCATGGTACAAGGTTTACAATTTTGTTGTAAAAGCACTTGTTGAATTTTTTTACAATGGCTTTATAAAGCATATGGAAATACATTGCATGTTGAATGAAAATTAGGAAAAAATAACAACGTTGGGATTTGAACAAATTAGCTATAGTTACTTAATTTGTTAATTTGAACATTAGCTTTATCTCTCCGTAATCTGAACACATAGCAAGACAGACATTTCTGTGTTGATTATGTGAACATCTGTCAGAAGACATCCTGGAAATGCAGAGCAGCAAAATATCTCTACGAGTCCATTGTGCATTTATGTATCTACTTGTGTCTTCCTCTGATAGGTGTGGGCATTGCAAGCAGTTTGCTCCTGAGTATGAAAAGATAGCCAAAACTCTGAAGGAAAATGACCCTCCTATTCCTGTCGCCAAAATAGATGCTACTGCAGCCACTTCACTAGCAAGTCGTTTTGATGTCAGTGGCTACCCAACCATCAAAATCCTGAAAAAAGGCCAGCCTGTTGACTATGACGGTTCTAGGACGGAAGATGGTAAGCACCAGTCCTTTGCAGGTCTCTGTAAGAAAGCAAAGTAGCGTATGATCTTGCGTCTTAATATGTGACTATTTTGAAGGACTTTGGTCTCAAGTTACCTTATCTTAAGCAGAATAATACTATGAAGGCTGAAATTTTTCCTGTTTTCTCAACTGACTGCATGTTAGAGGACAGTTTTGCAGGTAGTGGGTAGTGCTGTTGCTGACAGGAGGTTTGTAGAGATATGACTTGACCAAAAGAGGAGGCAGTCTCATGCTTGCTGAAGGATCAGCCAATAAACATTTGATCTGTATATTGACTGTGTGTAAACCTGCTTGATTTTCACTTAATTGATGTGCCCAGCTTCAATCAGAGAGGAAATACTACCTTTTCTGTCTTTTTTGAGATGGAATTCATGTACTATAGTGCTGCAAAGTACAGATCTATGCTCTGCATAAGTAAGATGCAATATGGTGTGAAGAGAAGACCTTCTTGGCAATACCATCAAGGAAATAAAGCATAAAGGAGTTTGATTAAGAAAGCATTCTCATGTAAGCTTGATGTGTAAGCCTCGGTCCAAGACCGTGCTTGCTACTCTAATTTTAAATTCTTGTTATCATCTCTTGCATTTGGTATGCTAGTGCTATAATAATGCATACTTGCTAACTGGGTTATTGAACTGTATTTCAGCAATTGTGGCCAAAGTGAAGGAGGTTTCTGACCCTAATTGGACCCCTCCACCCGAAGCTACTCTGGTATTGACCCAGGATAATTTTGACGATGTCGTGAATGGTGCTGACATAATCCTGGTGGAGTTCTATGCTCCATGGTAAGCAAGAAGGCAGTCACCCGTGCTTGCCTAGCACAGCTGGCTTGAACAGGCTTGGTGAGCCTGTTTTCTGTTGTTATGCCTCTTTACACATCTTTGCAGGTGTGTGTAGCTCTGGTGTACCTTAGTTCTAATCTGAACCTAGGATCATATTGCAAATCAATTGAAGACTAGACTAGATCTATGTTTCAGCAAAGGGGTGGTGTCGAAAGCTTCACTGAATATTCTCCTTATTTACTAATTTGGGACCACACTGAGATACTGAAAACCAAAGATAGTTGGTCCTTAGTTTAAAAATGGCCTCTGGAAATGAAACTACCTATAGTAGTGTGAGGCCAGCTTCAGGTTGGAGAGACACATATTCCTAGGCTGAAGTGTCCTTGTAGATTCAGTAATCCCGTTTCTACTCTCGGCATTCTGGCAGACTTAATTCTTCCACTTCGGAGGTAGAAGATACCTGGCAGACTTCATGGGTTGTAAAAACTGCTCTCTACTCTCCTTCTCTAGGTGTGGACACTGCAAAAGGCTTGCTCCAGAATATGAGAAGGCTGCCAAGGAGCTCAGCAAGCGCACGCCTCCAATTCCCTTAGCTAAGGTTGATGCCACTGCTGAAACTGAGCTTGCTAAGAAGTTTGATGTTACTGGCTACCCAACTCTCAAAATCTTCCGCAAGGGCAAACCTTATGACTACAGTGGGCCACGGGAAAAATATGGTACTGCAACTTCTGCTTTTTCTTATTTTCTGAGGGATTGACCACAAATCTTTTAGCATCTCTATAGGACTTGCAGGCTTGTTAACATCATAGCAATAGAAGCCGGGGAAACCTGACAAATTGTGCTCTTCACAGGCCAGCAATTTAAGTTTGTCTGTAATCTTTGACATCTTATGGTGGTACTATCAGTTCTTTTTAATATAAAGGAATTTAAATACCCATGGTGAAGCAGTGGCAATATGGGTAAATGGGCAGCCTTTAATTGTACTGGAATGCACCATAAGGACTGCCAAAATACTCAATGTCGTTAGCCCTGTGAGGCCATCCATCTATGAGAAGGTCACTCTAAACAAACCTACGTCCTGAGGACCTCACTGCCATTGTCCAAGCTTGCTTGGCCCCGGCAGATGAACCTTAGGATTAAAGGGTGGGCTCAGTTCAGCGCGTGCTGTGTCTCACCTAAAAAATCCATTGCGCAGGCTCGAAAGGTAAAAGACCTTTCCCAAAATCTTCGTTCGCAAAGACTGGCCATTATTAAAGTTCTAATAAGAGAAAAGACTTAAGACTATCCAAGTAGAACTTTGGTTCATAGCAGGTTCAGGAGACAGTGAAGTGTCTGGAATTTCATAAAAGAAGGTCACTTGCAAGATCAGCCAGTATCCATGGATCTCATGCTTGGCCACCTCTTCTGAAACTAACCTGAAGGAGAATATCCAGAACTGCAGCTTTAAAAACTTAGACTGAGGTCTTGCTGATTTGGTCTTCAAGTTATTGTGGGAGGGCTGTCCCCGATGTCACATGGTGTCCATGGGAAATGTGGTACTAAACAATGTTGTACATGGAATGCCTGAACCTTTCAGTTCAATAAAAGTTCTAAGCAACTTTTTGGGGGCGGGTCTGTCTCACAGGTATTGTCGACTACATGATTGAACAGGCTGGTCCTCCATCCAAACAGATTCAGGCTACCAAGCAGGTACAGGAATTTCTGAGGGATGGGGATGATGTCATCATCATTGGTGTCTTTAGTGGAGAGAATGACAAAGCCTATCAGCTCTATCAGGAAGCAGGTACAGAATGTTTTAAAATATTAATTAAATATGTTTTGTTGGGATTCTGCCTAGGACTTTGGGTGCAGAGAGATCATGTATTTTTGTTCTTAGTTCAGTAGGGGAGGTTGGAGAGGAACAAGAAGTAGATGGAGGGGTGATCTTCTACTCAAGAAGAAAGTTCAAACCAGATTTTGGGGTTATAGCTGAAGTATCAGCCAGTCACAGAAGATACTTCCTCCTGGTATTGTGTCCCTAAAAGCATGCAAACTACGGAGCAGGGAAAATTCGTGCCTGAGGAACAAATCACAACTTCCTGGCTTAAAGCCTACGTATCTTTTCTGTCTGTTACTGCTTGTTTCATGCCTGACAGTTCCAGAGACTGGGCTTTGCCAAGCTTGTTTGGGGTGGGTGGCCTGGAGAAAGAATCATCATCCACCTCTGGATCAGTTTAGCTAGACCATTCCTGGCCACCTGTCTATGTCTGCTTCTGGGGCTGCTGTCATTGTAGTTGGATTAGGAGCTAATTTGGTTGCTCCAGCATGGAAGACTACAGAACTGTTTCCCAGGCTGCCCCAAAGCAAATAGTTTGGCTAGTTGACCTATTTGGGGGGAAGCCAAGAGATATAAGACTTATAAACAAATAGCTGTTTTGCTGTATGTTTTGGAAGCTCTTCAAGGTTTTTGAGGTATGTAGAATAACTCGACAAGTTATTCTTGTTGAACAGCATTCAAATAGTGCTGCTAGAATTGTATGTATATTTACATGCTTCTCACCCTTGGATGAGAGCTTTGTCCAAGACTGGGTTGTTCTGTGTCCCTTTGAGAATAGGAAGAGAGTTTCCTTGCAGTGCAGCCTCAAGATTTCAGTTGGAGGCTGTCAGTCCACTTCTTACTGACTTCTCCTTCACCCTAACTTTAATTTTTCAGCTAATGGTTTGAGAGAAGATTATAAGTTTCATCACACCTTCAGCAACGAGATTGCAAAACTACTGAAAGCATCCCCAGGAAAACTAGTTGTCATGCAGCCAGAAAAATTTCAGTCAAAGCATGAGCCCAAGATGCATGTTCTGAATCTTAAAGTGAGTAGCTGATACAGAGCTAGAAAGTTTGCGTGCGGATTGAAGGTTCTCTTTCCTTGTATTTATGATCAGTTGGCATCTTCGTGTTGGAAGTACTCCCACTAGATATTTGAGGCAACTGTTTGTCCACTGAAACTGTATTGCTTTGTTCAAGAAAACTTTATGAAATTAGTCCAGATGTTGCATTTTCAAATAATAATTTTATCATTACAATATGCAGTTCAAAGGTAGAACACCAAATTATCCCTAGTGCTCAAAGATTTGAAGAGTATGGTGACAGTATTGTTTATAACATGCCCCTCTCTCTCATTTGTGTATGCATCAATATTAGTTTTCAGTAGTGTATAACAGAAATGCCTCTTAAATCTCCTTGTCTCAACTTTTCTCACAATTTTTTTGAACAGGATTCTACAGATGGGTCAGAGATTAAAGAGCATGTGCTAAAACATGCTTTGCCTCTAGTTGGTCATCGGAAGCCTTCCAATGATGCTAAGAGATATGCTAAGCGTCCTCTAGTGGTGGTCTATTATTCTGTGGACTTCAGTTTTGACTACCGAGTTGGTAAGTTTGCTGTGATTACCCTTCCTCCACTTTGAGAGGAGCAGGCAGTAAGTAACTAGAAATTGCCAATCTCATTGTGTTCTGGTTTTTCAGCTACCCAGTACTGGAGAGGCAAAGTCCTGGAAGTGGCCAAAGACTTTCCTGAATATGTGTTTGCTGTTTCTGATGAGGAGGATTATTCTTCTGAAATAAAAGATTTGGGCCTACTTGAGAGTGGAGAGGATGTCAATGTTGCCATTCTGGATGAAGGTGGCAAGAAATATGCCATGGAGCCAGAAGAGTTTGACTCTGATGTACTCAGACAGTTTGTGCTGGCATTCAAAAAAGGTACAGTTTCTAAAATAGGGTTCTCTAAGCTATTTGCTCTGTTTACCCAAGAGTTTTTCCTGAGGCAATGGCTATAATAAAGTAATTTGTGCAACCTTGCAGTGTTCTGTGACTTGAAGCTTTTGGATGTTTCTTGCCTCTTTTTTTTTAAACTTTGGTTCATTAACTTCATTGCTTGGACTATGCTGTGACTTCCAGCTATACTCTAAACCTGAGCATGTTATGTTTGGCAAGCCTAAAATGTTCCTGTGGCTCTTAAGTGTGAGCTGGTCATTCATGTTTGTGACTTCTGTAGTAAATCGCTAGTTAGTACCCTGTGGATGGACAGCCATAAAAAGAGGAAGAAAGGTTCTAGGGAATTACGAAACAAATTGTTACCCATATTTCACAAGGCTATTTGGCTAAAAGGTCACCAGCAAAACGACCTGTGTTTCAGGGGCAAGTTCATTTGGTGGTGCAGTGATTTTTCCCTGGCAGGAGGATGTGCTACTGCCCTTTCTTAGGGGAGATTGTAAGGGCTGCTCTTACCATATTCTAACAGTGCTGTGTGTTTTTCTTTCTTCTAGGAAAACTGAAGCCAATTGTGAAGTCCCAGCCAGTGCCAAAAAATAACAAAGGGCCTGTGAAAGTGGTAGTGGGTAAAACTTTTGATACCATAGTAATGGATCCAAAGAATGATGTTCTCATAGAGTTCTATGCTCCATGGTGTGGACACTGCAAGAAACTTGAACCAGTGTATACAGAGCTAGGCAAAAAATACAAGAATGAGAAAAATCTAGTTATAGCCAAGATGGATGCTACTGCCAACGACGTGACAAACGACCACTACAAAGTGGAAGGATTCCCCACCATCTACTTTGCTCCGAGGGACAAGAAGAACAACCCTATTAAATTTGAAGGCGGGGACAGAGATTTAGAGCATTTGAGCAAATTTATAGAGGAGCATGCAACAAAACTCTCCAGAACAAAAGAAGAGCTTTAGATAAGATGAGGGTGGTGAAGAAAAATTGTTTGTACGTTGTAGTTAAAATCAAGTTACTGACAAAACTTCATGAGAGAAGAGTTAAGCAGTTTGAGCAAAGAGATTCTTGAGCAGTAAAGTAATTGCAGTATCTTTTTTTTTATATATGGCAGAAGAGTTTTTTTCTGGACACTGAACTTAATACTCTAATATGAATGTCTTGTCTTAGTTATGGTTTTGATCTTTGGAGAAAAATACATCCTTTATTTTTTGTGACTATCTTGAGCTTTATTCTTTGACTCAAATGCAGCTGTTTTTAAGTTAAAAGATACTACCAAAAAGAGAGAAGCAGATTCCTCAGCCAAACAGTTTTCTTTGTCTTATTTGTTGTTACGGTTACTGGGGTGAGCAGTCTTTTCAGCCAGTCTTTTTTGTTATGTTTCTGCATACCTCTTCTTTTGACTATATCACTGTATGCATTGAGGAGGATAAGAATGGAGATTTTCTAAAGTGTGGATGAATTATTTGGTCCTATTGAGATAAGACACAGTGACTTGCTAACCAAATATACCTGTCTGTTTTAGCTTTTTGCCTCTCTGTAGAGAGGATGATGCAAAAATAGAAAGTTTTTCTAATTTACCTCACTTTAGTAGTCCATATTGACCCATTTATATCCTAGTCTTCCTAAATATGTTTTGGAGTAATTGGAGTGTGGCAGAAAGAGCATTTAGTGGGTGGAAGTGCTTGGATTCTGGTATCAGACCTGTGTGTTACTGTCTTCTTTCCTTTTGCAGAGAGGAAAATTTGATAGTGATTCTTCTTTAGGGAAGCAGACTGAGACTTTCTGTTGGCCTTTGTTTCTGTAGCAGGTACAAAAGATGATCACGTATTCTCTGTGCCCCTTTTGGGAGTATATGCATTAAAAAGTGGGGGTTTATCTTGAATGTCCCACTTTAGGTATGTCCATAAATTTATGGGCTATGTTGAGGGCACAGACTTACATACTCTAGAAGCACTGTCTGACTCTTCCCAGAGCTGTGTTGCTGCAGTGGGTGCGACTTAGGAGTCACTGAGGCAGTTTGGATACATATTTCATTTTACAGGTAGTGCTACTCCCAGCAGCACTGCTTTCTGCCTTGCAAAGTATCATCAGTCTTCCTTCAGTAATTGCTTGTTTCATTAATTTTTAGCTTTTGGAGGTCTAAAACCACCACCCGATCATTCTTTAATTCTGGGGAGATGCAGTCTTCTGTGTAGCAAGGATAAAACCATGTCCAGGAGGTGGCTGTTAAGGTATAGTCTGAGGACCCAAAAGGGCCTGGAAGAGGGTATCAATTATTCTTGCAGAGGTGTGTGGGACTGCATGAAGGCTTTCCCTTCATTAATGGTTTAGCTGAAGCTAGTGAACAAAGCTCACCAGCGAATGATGAATGAGGGGGGTAGTATCAAATCTCCAGAGAGTATTGCGGTGTGCCTGAGTGCTATTCAGCTCCTGTTGTTTATCAGCAAAAGCTGGGAAGCTAAGCTAGCAAGCGTTAGAGCAGTGTAATCATTCACTTCAGGCCCTGGCATTGTCAATCTCCTCTTTTCACATTAGAGGGCTTTTTTTCTCTGCTGTACTTAAATGTACAGGTGTCTGTTAAGCTTAGGCAGTATTTCACCTACAAGACCCTTACCAAGTGCATTGTCTTCCCATCAATTGCCATTTCTGTTTGCAGCTTTTCTGTAGAGCCTCCAAAGGCCATAATCTGTGATAAATGTGTTGTGCAGGCAACAGGGGGGAGATCAGACTTAGCTGAGCACCAGGGGTGATTTTTTTCTGCTTTAGAAAGTATGCATATAGAAAGTAGCAAGGTCTTGTCTTCTAGTGATATCAACTCAGTTCTTCAAAGAAATTGGCACAGACTTTTCAGATTGATTCTTAAAACATGGTTCAGGTTGTATCCTTAAGCAAATACCTCACAAAATGCTGCAGGGAACTAAACTGCTCCTGCTTGTAAGTTAGTTGCAGACTTTCAGGGTTTTATTCCAAAATAGATGCTGGTTAATCACCAGGAGGATATGGATAAATAGGGAGCATGTAGAAGGGAGGGTGAAAAGTCCCTTATTGGTGGTGAAGACTACAATCAGGGCTGAAGCTCCATTCTTCTTGGGTTAGAGTTGAGCATGACAGTTTCTTATGTCTCTTCTTGTAGGTGGTGAATTATAAACATTGTCATTGCCAATGCTGTACTCTTTCTGTAAACTTCTTTCTCCCAGCAGGAGCTGACACTACCCCGGTGTTGAAACCAACCTCTCCAGCCTGCTGGGAGGCCTTGTGGTAATAAAAGGCTCAGGGCCCAGGGGAGTGTCCAAGGTGTGCTTGCTCAGTGCTCCTGACACCTCACTGTTTCTTGCCTTCACGGGTGGAGGCAACCTGGTACATACAGAGTTACTTCAGGAGTGTGCTCAAAAACCTGAATTTTGTTCTGGAGCACCAGTGCTTAAGTCAGAGCTGAATAAGGAGGAGAAATACACTAGCTGCAGTATTGCTTACAGTTTCTTGACAGCTGTAGGTGCAAAAGCAAGCAGTGTTAATCCAAGTAGGTTATGGGTTTAGGTTATGAGCAGAAGAGAGAATGAGGATTTGTTCCATCCTTACACTAGTGTCACCTGGCCATGTTTACTGTGAGTCCTTGGCTTTGCCACACACCTTGGCATCTGCATGTCATAATAAATATATTTGTCACTTCCCAGCAAGGTGAGGACACTGTTGCCTCTCAGCTTTGGGCAGAGTCATACTGGGAAGCGAACTGCTTTCCTTAGTTCCCCTATCCTACCCCTTGCTGTCTGTGCTATCCACATCACATGAACTTTCTGTGAAACTCACTGGAATGGCTACATCATTAGGACTGTTTTCTCTGTAGATAAAGTGATATTTATGTGATTGATGCCTTCTAAGGAGAAGAGCTCATACCATCTTTTGGAATTTGTTAAATGCATTATGCGTGTCTGCTTTTTCCTTCCTGGTGCATTAGGATGCTTTTCTAAACATCCTAAATTCTTTAATTAAGGAGTTGCCTGAGTGCTACTGATTAGCCTTGGTTTTCCCTTCTTGTAGAAGAAAAATAAAAGTGTGTGCAATGCAGAATAATAAGAGAGCTTCCCTCACTCTTAGTCACAGCTGCATAAGCATATGGCATCATTTCTGATCATGATTCCAGGTGGAAGAAATCCTGCAGTTCATGCTTCAGCACAGAACTGATTTGTATAATACTAATAGTTCCTGGGTAGGCTCAAAGGAGCCTGACCTGGCATAAATATCTCCTATACATGCATCCTCTAGAAAACAAATTTATTTCTATAAACTGTAGTACATCAGTAGTCAGACTTGAGACTTCTTTGGGGCCAGTTCCTTTCCCTGAAGGGTCAAGAACTAAGGTAAGCAGCAACTGTAGCAGAGCTGGTGCTCCTTGAGGAGTGAGTTTGTCTGTACTGTCTTTGGGACAGGAAATATGGCCTGGGATCTTGATACTGCATCAATTGCTAGCTTTTTTGATACTGGAGGAGATTTGTTAGCAGTAGATGGTTTGCAATGAAGTTATTACTTAGTTTCTACTCTAAGCAATTTTATACTTCAAAACTGTGAATTATGATGATGCCTGGGTATGGCCTAAGATTGTCTGGTAGCAAGCAAGCAAGGCACTGCAGGGCTGGAAACTACTCCACAAAGTTGATCTGTCCTCTTGTACATGAGGCTATGTGTTGAGGAAATGGGCTTCTGAAAAGCAGAATATGAATAAATGATACAGGTTAAAGGCTTCTCAGGAAGTAGCATTAACTGTAGCGGTCAGACTGGTGTCCTTTCTTTTCTAGTAGGCAAGAGAAGTCACTGCAAGCTGTCCATGATCCAAAAGGCTTCTTGATCACAGCCTGCATTAGTAATGGACTGGTCAGAGGGTTGAGTGTTGCAGTCTGTATGCTCAGCCCTTGGTGTGGGGTAACGTATGTCAAGCCCTGTGCAAACAAGTGTGTAATCCACTTAGTCAAACTGGTATAGACCCTTGTATCTGTTATGCAATATGGCTTTGGTTTGCTGTACTTAAGTTGCAAAACTCCCTTTTTCGATGCAGATCAGGGATCTATGAGCAAGCCTAGCCAAAGTCTCTGAAATGTGGTAGCATCTTGGGTCAGTTGTCAGGTGTTTTTGAGACTTCAGCTAGTGGTGCTGCACAGCTTGAAGTGAGGTGTTGGAGGAATTGCTGCACATCACAGCAGTGCATTTGTCAGGGGAGGGCTCTCAATTACCAACTACAAAGGGCTTCCCTTCTTTTCCTGCCTGGATCCATGGTAGGTCACATGAAGCCATGGGCTGGAGAAATGTTGTTCTGCCATGCGTGAACTATTTTGATACCTGCCCAGAATCCCACTCATAAGTCAGCTTGTTCTCTTTCAACATCTTTGGAGGTTGCTGTGCACTGAAGCTGGTTCCTTTAGACACGCTCTGCATGCTCTCAGGCCACAGACTGATGTCATGTTAGTGCTGGATTTTCTGTGAGAGCAGCTGGTTTTATATGAAGCCACTGTGCTGTAATCTGATCCTCTGCACCATTCCCAAATGTGTGGACAAGCTCTGAAAACTAAATTATCATGTCTTTTCAGAGGTTGGGTGAGACTGCTTGGGTCTGAAAGGATGTTACTGTTCTCCAGTTTCTTTTTTTTTCATCTAGAGAGGAAGAGATCTGCTCTGTGGATTACTCTGAATCCTTACATTAGAAAGGTGGAAGTTTCAGTTTCAGAAATGCTGTTCAAATCCCAAGCTGTGTGTGGCTTGGTAAAGGTAAAGGAGATAAAGCTATTTTTAGTGCAAATAAAACCCTTATCACAATCAGTAACCCAATCCTCTGAAGGATTTCCATATGCTGGGATTTTGAACAGCCAGTTGTTTCTTCATAGTGAAAGCTGACACTTATCAACCTACTCTCAATTAATGCCTTGCTGCTTGCCTTTGTCAAAGTTACAGTGGCCTTCCTGAAATTCAGTGTGTTTTGCTTTACAGTAGGAGAGAATTGTTCTGCAGTACAGCCTGGTAAAATGCTGCTCAGAATGATAAAAGCAGAGTAAAAGAAAATACAGCAGAAGGTGGTCTCAGGGGAAGAAAAAAAAAAAGTAAATGGTAACTCAATTTTCAATTTGAGTCAATGATGTCAGAGAAATCAAGGCTAGACAGGACCATTTACTCAGCTAATCTGACTGGGTTATGTATCATACCCCAAGTTCTCAACTGTTCGCTTTCCTTA